CATCGAAAGGGTTAAATGCAATTGTCGTAGGATGGCGCAAACCATGTGAAAAGATCCCCGAAATGTCCGAGGAATTACGGTATCTCCACGTACTCTAACCTCGAGCGTGCCTAAACAAGGTTAAAAAACGTGATGTCACTGAGATTTCTCGAAAGCGTGTGAACGAAAGGCAATTGGGAAAAGGAAAAAAAAAAACCATCTTTGGTCTCTTCAAAGCAATGCTGACGGTCATGATGAGACGTGTAAATAACAACATCATGTCCTTTAGACTTTAAGCCTTTAGCCGCGTCCACCACAAGACGTTCTGCTCCACCTATTTCAAACACGAACTCTTTGAGAACAAATGACAGGGCCAAAGAAGAAACACGAGTTTAAAATCTAATCGACACGTTACCTATACCAAGGTCTGGGTGAATGAAAGCAATCTTTAGGTGTTTCGTCGAGGACATTTTATTCACGAAAGGATATGTTTACAATTATCGGGGAAAGAAAAAAACGAGGGCAGAAAAACACGCTAACTAAAGTCTATTTATAAAGAAAATCGTTTATAATTACTATAAATGCAAACAAACACGCTTGCACGTTATTCCGTCCTCATGTTCTGTCGATGCATTACATTAAAGTTATGTCGTGTGTAACAATTAAATTTTTTCATAGTTATGAAAAGAACCTGGGTCACAAGGTAGTAAATTCACTACACATTGACCGACTGTCCATATTTTTATAATATAGATAAGCAATGATAACGTGCAGAGAAATGAAAACGCGGATGAAAAAGAATTTTAAGTTTTTTTCTTATGCAAATATGACGACCACCACATACGTAATAATAATGCGAACAGGCGATCTACCAAAAAAGAAAAAAAAATAGGAACCTTTATTTAATAAGATGTACGGGGGTGTGTGCAATTATTAAGGTTAGATAGATTCATACGATCTAGTGTCATTTCATTAATAAAGGGATCTGATGAAAGAGGTGGGTGACAAAAAGACAATCCCAAAAGTAAATCGCGGTGTAAATCTTTTTTTTTAAGTCGGTCATGTTTCATTTAACCTCTTCCAATTCAACTAAAACGCCACCACAATCTCTCGGATGTAAAAATACAACGGGATTACCATGCGCACCAATTTTTGGTTCGGGATCCAAAACCCTAATTTCCTTTGAAACCAAATCTTCCACGGCCGCTTTAACATCGTTAACCTTTTTTGTGTACAGTAAATCACAAAGCACGTAAATGCATGCAAATCGAAACATTGCACCAAAAGAATTTACATAAAACATGCCTCAATGCAGATATGATGAATTCCTCCCATTTTGTTTTTTTCAAGAAAATGTCGTATTGGTGATTTATCACCATATGGGTGCAAAAGTTCAATTTTTGTGTTACCAAGATTCACGAAAACTGTGTATACTCCATGCTCCGGTTGCGGCTATGATAGGAGAGCGAAAGTCAAGAAGCATCACTGTTGTGAACACGATATCTGGAAAATTGACTTACCACCGCATCGCTAACCTCCTGTGCCCCTAAAACATTCTTATAGAAACCGATGGCCTTTTTAAGATCTGGTACGGCTACGGCTACATGATTTAGGCGACCCAATTTCCACACCTTATCATCCTAGAAATCCACCAATCGTAAGGATAAGACATACATAGTTCAATCATGAAAACCAAAGAATTCGAGATCTACCACTGAAATTCCAGCAGATGAAGTCATATAGCGAGGCGCAATTCCTGATATTCGTGTTATCTGGGGGGAACATCTCGCAGAAAAGGGTGAAGACGCTACATTTAAATTCCTGGTCACGTTAAATCTTACACCATCAAGAAGAATTCTAGTTCTGGTACTAAACAATTTGAGAGAAGACATTTTATTTTCTTTTTTCTCTGCGAAACTGGATTTCAACCTATTACTAACACGAGAAATTAGGAACTAATAATCTTCGGGCTCGAAATGACGAACCATTTATATCCACAAAAATTTGTAACGTCACGCGATTTTCATCTGAATTCCCACAATAAGATCATACGACAAAAACAACAACCAATTGATTGCGCATGATTACTAAAGATAGCAATAACCTTATTTAAAATTAAATGGTTAGTGCATTCTTCAATTACGCCAACATCATCTTATTTCCAATGGTATTATTAAGTTTGTGATGCATAAGGTTTTTTATTGTTTCCATTCTTATATAAAAAAAAAATTTTATTAAAAAAATATTAATTTATTGCATGTATATTCAATCAAATTATATTATATGGTAATTTTAAAAATTCAAATTTTTAATATTATAGTGTTACAAGACATTTCTTCTTTTTGAATCTTTATAAAAAAATTGTAATATATACAGTACATATTTATTTATTTATAACATATTTTTATTTAAAGTTAATATATTATTATTATAAAAAATATTTTAAAAAACAATAGATATTGAAAATATATTTAAAATAAGAATAGTATTTTTTTTTTATATTATAAATTATTTTATTATTATTATTTTTTTTATTTTTATTTTTTTAATAAAATTTTTATTTGTTTGTTTTTTTAATATTAATATATATTTTTTAAAATATAATATATTTATTTTTTTTTATTAAAAATAATAATAATTTTAAAAAATATATAATATATTATTATATTAAAATAAATTTTTTTGATTATATTAAAAAAAAAAAAATCAATAATAAATATTTTTTATAATAATTTATATTATTAATTATGTTTGTTTATTAATAAATTTAAAATTTTTTAATATATTATAAATATTATATAAGCAGATTTGATTTTTTGAATCTTTTTTTATATAATAATCAAAATTTAATTACCTCAAATTTTCTATTATAATTTGCTAAACATTATCAAAATAATATATACAATGTGATTCATAATTTTTTGAAATTGGTTTTTTAATATAACTCTATTAATAATTATTTAAATATTATAAAAATTTATGAAAATTTTTTTAAAATTTTTTATTGTTTTTATACTTAAAATTTATGTTTAATGTAAGTTAACAAATATTAATAAGACAAATTTGCCAAAGTTTTATATATAAGTTATTATAAAAACATAGTACAATTTTTTAAATTTTTATAAAAAAATATAGTATTTTAAAAACTGTTTTAGTTTATTATACAATGAAAATTTATTTGATTTAAATAAAATTTTATAAACTACTT